TCGACGAAACTCAGCGACTGAAACCCACTTGTCACTGAGCCCCTAAACTTCACAAAGAAAGTAGGAAACCATTAACAACAATCAAATTGAACTTTATGGGAAATATCTGACATTAACACCAGCACAACAAACACAAGAAAAACTGTAGTTGACCGACGCCTTCTAAAATCAGAGAAGTCAAATAGAAAGTAAACCCCAAACCAGGACCTAATTCGACAAGCGACCAACCACGGTAAATCGAATAGCTTTTGTGGCGCTCCCATCAAATTCATCGTACCAAGTCACCATTGCAAGCTCCGACATCACTTCAATCAAAATTCGAATTTTTTATAACATAATACCTTAGCATAACCAGAGCCTCAAAGCGAAACAGAAATTGACGAAGTGAAAAAGGGGGAAAAGGAAAAAGGGTCAGGCAGCTTTGAGAGACACTACATCAAGTTTGGGATCCAATAAGCAAACAAAGGGGATGTGAAAGAAAATAAAGTTTAATACATAAAAAAATGTGTAGCTAAAATATCACAACTAGCTATAGTTGTGAAGTGTATGGAATTGTCTAGAGAATGTATTAATGTTGGTAGTTATGAATTAAGAAAAAAAAAGAAGAATCACAAATGGGTAGATATTTGTGGGGTTAAGTAGGTGTGAAGTGATGGTTAAGTTTGATAAAGTGTAAGCCACAATTTAGTGTTAGAACTTGGCTATAAATAGCCATGGTTTGTGTATGGTTCCTTTATCCCAAGCAAAGAGAAGAAAATAAGAAGAAAGAAAGACGAGAGAGTTTGAGCAATTGTGAGTTGTGGGATTGTGAAAAACTTAGAGAGTTTGTGAGCATTTCGATCCAATTTTTCATACAAGTGGTATCAGATCCAAGGGTACTACTCGTACGCTCTGTGGTTGCGGTATAAGCCGATCTTCCACATCAGAAAAGGGTTCCTTGTGCTTTGTTATCCTTGCCAATGTTATTCCTCGTATGCTCCATGCTTGCGGTATAGGCCGATCTTCCACATCAGAAAAGGGTTCCTTGTGCATTGTTATTAGAACTGGTTCAGCTGAGAGCCAGTAGTGACGAGATCCTTAATAGGCGGTCAGAGGCTGCAGTTATTTTAGTAAGATCGAAATAGAGAACTTGGAGAAGTTTCCAAGAAAGAAGATTGAGCGTTACTCAGTTACCGCTATGGAGAAATTGAACGAGACCAACTACTAAAGTTGGAGCACCCATATGGAGTTTTATCTCAGAGGCCAAAAGCTCTGGGAAATTATCACCACCCCACCACCCAAAGATGAGAAACTGTTGGAGGACTGGAAGCAAAAAGCAGACAAGATCATGTACATCCTTGCAGCCACAACAAAAGACCGATTCCTGCCTCGCATCATGGAAAGCAAATCCCTGAAGGAAGCTTGGGATACTCTCTCCACAATCTTCGCCAGGACCAATGAGGCGAGACTCCGGAGACTGGAGAATGATTTGATGTCACTATCCCAAGAAACATTGACCGTTGGTCAATATTTCAACAAAGTAAATAATGTGTGCCGAAATTTCGAAACTGGATCATGAAAATCCAATTTCTGAAGCTCTGACAAGAAGAATCATCATTCGGGGCTGGAGACCGGAGTTCAAGCGCATAGTGACAGCAACAAGAGGGTGGTCAAAGGAGCCAACCCTGGTTGAATTGGTGAATCTTCTAGCAAATGAAGAAATTATCGATGACAAGATGTCAAAGGCATCATTTAAGGAAGATGAGAAGGCGCTGCTCAGCAAAAGTAAAGACTCTAATGGTGGAGAGAAGACTCTTGCATCGATAAGAGGCCAAAAGGGGTTCGAGAAGAACAAAAAGTGGAACAATAAAGGAGGCAACTACCGAGGGGGAGCCCAGAATACTTACAACCATCGTTATAAAAATTGATTAAGCACCATACATGGGCCTGTTTAATATCCAGCATAACCTTCTCCCTACAACTAGAGTTATTGGAAGTAACTGGTTGTTGACATGGTATCAGAGCTGGTTTGTCCGTGAGGTCACGTGTTCAAGTCGTCACGACCCCCAATATTAACGGTTGTCTTTCAAGCACATGGTATGGCGGGCCTGTGCAAACTTCAAACCCATGAGTCGGCTTTCGTTTGAGGGGGCGTGTAAGGAAGTGGTTAAGTACCATACAAGGGCCTGTATAAGATCCAGTATAACCTTCTCCCAACAACTCGAGTTATTGGGATCAACTGGTTCTTGACAACCGTAACAAAGATGGTGACGGAAAGGACAGGGAGGAGCATGATCGAGAAAATGGCAATTGCTACATTTTCCACAAGAAGGGTCATCTAGCCAGAGATTGATGGCACAAAAAGGAAGAACGAAACGCTGCAACTTCTTCCAAGGTGAATGATGATGAATTGGACTTCCAAGCATCCTTTGCATTGGAAGCTCCAAAAGGCGCCACTGAAGAGTTAGCGCATATGTCAGTGGACAAGAATGTCATTGATAATGAAAATGATTGGATTGTGGATTCGGGATGTTCAAATCACATGACTGGTGATGAACATAAGTTGTTAAACGTGTCCGAGTATAAAGGTGGACGAGTGGTTGTCACCGCCAACAACTCTAAGCTGCCAATCACCCACATCGATGAGACACTTATTACTCATCGGTTTGGCGATCAACAAGTGGAGCTGTCAAACGTTTACCACGTCCCTGGAATGCGAAAGAATCTGATGTTAGTATCACAACTGACCGCATCTGGCAAGATGTGAAGGTGTATCGAAAATTACAATCAACTTTTGATCCGATCATGCAAGGGCAGAAGCTAGATTCTGTGTATGTAATGTCAGAAGAAGTTGCTTATGTTGACAAAACAAGAAGGAATGAGACGAGCCCTCACAGAGGCATAACAAAGAGAAGGAACAGACCTGGACTGAAGCCACCAAGTTGGGAATACAACTGTAGCAAAAAAAAAAAAGATCGAGTTGGGAAAATAACCTCAACATAAGAACCCCACGAAACAAGACTAGCGGCGAGCAACCCTAATACCACAAGAAGCACTAAAGCAGCTGAGAAACACAATATAGCTAGCATATGAGAAACAAAACATAATAAGTAGCCGAGACCAGATAGTAGACAAGAGAGAAAACCCAACCAAGCAGCTGAGAATCGAAGGGCAGACTGTCATAACTGGGGAGCTCAATTAGTACGATATTGTCTGCTTTGGGTCAAGCCCGCACGGATTTACTTTTGGGTATCCTCCTCAAAGGACCTCGTACTCATTGGGCTAGGTGGACACTAATATACAAGGGTCCCTTCCCTTGTACCTCCGAAGTGGTACTTGGATTGTTCAATTACAATCCTCCCCTCAAGACAAGGAACACGAACTTTGTGTCCTCTACTCATCGATTATTTATACTTTCCTTCTTCGATTTTCCAGACAACGGAGCCCAGAAATCTTGTTGTTCCAACAGTGCTTGCATCTTGATCTGCCACAAACTGAAATTGTTTCTTCCGGTAAACTTCTCAATCTTCATACTGATAGTAGCCATTCTTGCTATCAAACAAACTCCAACCAAACTTCTCACCAAACAAGCGATACCAAAACACAACTACCCAAAGTCAACTCCAAAGTGATTCCTCCACCGAACCAAGATAAAGAATTGAAAGCTACCTACACAAAGCAAAACTTCTGTCCAGCGCCAAATTCCCAAAACCGCAACCAGGCTTGGATACCACTTGTCATAACCGGGTAGCTCAATTAGTACGATATTGTCCGCTTTGAGCCAATTAGGTTAGGTGGACACTAATATACAAGGGTTCCTTCACTTGTATTACCGATGTGGTACTTGGATTGTCCAATAACACAGACAAATCCTTAGATAAGAGGCTCTGATACCATGATAAGAAAACAAAAATAATAAACACGAACACCGAATTTTACGTGGTTTCCCTGAGAATCAGGACTAGTACACGAGAGAGGTAGAACTCTCCAGAGTCAATCTTATTCAGCTTAGTTTTACGGAATAGAGAGTGTATTTATGTGTTAAGGTTACAGCACATACGTAACCCTAATCCTGCTAATTAGTTTAGGAACTCACGTAATAGGGACAATTACTATAAGCTAGCTACCTAAACTAAGTAAAATACTTAATTTCAACACTTAGCTGCCTGGAATCGTGGGTTTTCAGTATCAAGATGGGAAAGCACTAGCACTATCTGGTCTAGGAAATTGAGGAGATTGAAAGCTGATGGAAAAGTTGCGTCGAGATGGAAGCGGAGAGCGGACATGCGACGAAGCCTGGAGGGAGCGTATATGAGTTTATGTATGGGCGATGATAGAAAACCAAGATGTTGTGAAGGCTAGAAAAACAACCCATTCTCAAAATGATGATGATGACGATGATACTTAAATCCCAGGCCCCATTATCCACTGATATAGATCATAAGACAGAAAAACATTGAAATGATGGGAAGCAAAATGCATTGGTCAACGCAAGTGAGAAAGGCCATATGTATGTTTTGGGGTCGAATGAGTGTTTTGCAGTAAAGAAGTGTTTCCAAAATGAATGAGAACCGTTTCTGAAAAAACTAGATGGGATAAGGAGAAGTGATTATTTTAGTGGTAGAGGACGAAAGATAAAAGACATTGCAATTGTTTTTGTATGTGTTGGCGATTGATAGATCAACAGCTAATGAATGGGACCCGAACTGTGTCCTTTTGTGACTGCAGTTGTTGGAGCAGTTGGATTCTAGTGAAACCAGACTGTAATGGCAGCTAATCACTTATTGATTCATGATTATTGAAATAAAACATAATCACGCCATTACCCTCGAACATATAGAGATAATCATTGGGTTTAATAATTCTAATTTCCTTCATTGGTGGCCAGAAGTCAACTGTTGCCTTCCCTCCTCCAATCTTCCTATAAAAAATAGAAGAGACATACACCAAGAAAAATAGAGAGAACCCCATTAAGAAAGAAGGAAAGGGAGAGGAAGGAATATAACGGAGAGCAATACTGAATGATGATGATGATACACATCTCCTCCGTCTCGCCAACGTTGCTTATTATCCCACTTGGACTATTCTTAGCATCCTTCATTTGGGGCTGCCGAGTGTTGTCCGCCAAGAGATCGGCAGCGCCGCCAGGACCATGGAAGCTGCCCATCTTTGGGAACGTCCACCAGCTCATGTTCAGCCGAGTTCGAGCTCCCCACATCCGGCTGAGGGAATTGGCTCAGAGATACGGGCCCGTTATGAGCCTGCAGCTCGGGGAGGTGGTCAACATGGTCATTTCCTCCCCAGAGGCCGCCAAATTGGTGCTGAAAACCCACGACTTGGTCTTTGCTTCCAGGCCCAGTCTCCTGGTCGCCAACATCATCTTCTACGGTTGCAAGGACATCGGCTTCGCGCCTTACGGGGAGTACTGGCGGCAGATGCGGAAGATCTGCATTGTGGAGCTGCTCAGCGCAAGGCGCGTTGCTTCGTTCCGCTCTATCAGGGAGGAGGAGGTCTCCAATCTAATCTCTCGCATTCGTGTCGCTGCAACTGCGAGGAACGAGGAGGGCGTCGACCTCAGGGAGATGCTATTTTCCTTCGCCAGCAACGTCACTTACAGGTACGGACTTGGATGCATAGTTATTAAAAATCTGTTTAATCTTCTAAATCCGTTTATAATTTCTGCTCTCGTACGACTTTAGAGCAGTCTCCATTTTCTCGGTTTGTTTGATGCCTCTATCTTAATAAACACGTAATAAACACATATAAAACGTTTCAAATATGTATTTGGGTTAAGATACAAAACTATATAGTTTTGTCTTACTACAAGATCATAATGGATGGCTACACCATCTTATTCATTTTGATATTTTTTTTGAACAAAATATTTTTAAGTAATCATACTACTTTCAATGACATAATGATATCACCACGAACAATATTATGATATCATAGTGATATGATATTGGTATGAAGTCTTATCCTATGATTGAAAAAATAATTTGATAACTACAGTTATATTAAAATGACAAACAAAAATTTGTATGTATTAATATTGAAAGATATCAATAACATATTTTGGTAACTATGCTTGGACGATGACTATTTGCCTTTACTTTGTTTGATTTCTCCCCTAATTATTCAAGAGGGAAGTTCTTGAATTACTTGAGTTGTTTGGTAGAATGGGAATCTCCCTATTTAGTATTTTAGTTTTTTTTGTCCAAGATATGCCAAGAAGGCTCAAACCGAGAAAAACAAATTACAAGATGACAACAACCAGATGCAGTAGTTCGTAACCAACCAAACTAGTGATAAAAGAGCAATTTTTGCCACTACACGGGCAGCTTTGGAAAAGCTCTGAGGAACAAAGGACACGAAACTGACACAAATGAAATAAAAAAAACTTCTCCAAGATAGCCCTGCGAGTGAGGTTGATTCATCTTCAAAAGACCATTGAAATGAACATGATTCCCCTTCAAAACAACAAACAATAAAAGAAAAAAAAATCAATTTGGTGCTAGAAATATCTATCCTAAGAGTTTAAAACCTGCCCTTATGGCATAGTCGGGATAACCGAATTCTCACGCCATTGGTGTGATAAAACTTGGAAAAATAAAGCTTTATCGTAAGATCGAGAGTTTGCTTTTCAGAGTACTTTTTTTTTATGGTTAATCAAAATTGTCACTAAGCACGGGAGATGCCATCAGGCATTAAACTCCTCTCAAGATTTAACAAGAACCCTAACCTCTATACATTCATAAACTCTCTATCTATATCAATGAGAAACAAGTCGAAAACTATCTTGAAGTTGTACACTTCCTGCTATAAAGTAACGAGCATCACTTTTAATCTTTAGTAACAAAGTAGAAGGGGAGCACCAATCACTATCTCCAGCAACTCTTCTGCACCTCTCGCGCCATAAATTGCTTAGAGTTAAAAGCCACTCCAACAATCCACACCCCATTGAAGGTGTTTCTCCCAACTGTTGAAAGTAGGAACCACACAGCTAATCTGCTGCATAATGTGCTTCAATAATGATCAGTAATCAATCGCCAAGCAAGTAACTTGTCTTTGGTATGTAGACGACCCATTACCATAAGCCAGACTAATAGTGAATGATTGGGATAATACGGTTTGCCCCAGGTCACTTTGCTCCAAAGAACTAACTGATGAGGAGATTGTATTGAATCCCATATTGCCTTAATTGAATACTTCTTAAGTGAAGCTCCATTCCATTGCAAGGTATCACCATGAATGCCTATGCCCTAGGCCTGCATTTGAGGATTTCCTCCACACCCAAGAACCACTAGCAGTAAGCTGAAGATCCCAAACAATTCGCTGCTTGACCCTGTATTTGTAAATCCAAGCAACCCAGATAGAGCCTACCTCTGCTAATAGATTCCAGAGATATCGAATGATACAAGACTGGTTCCAGGTTTTAAAATCACGAACCCCTAGCCCACCTTCCTTTGTTGGCAAGGCAACATAATCCCATGCTACTGGCGCTCTCTTCCTTGAACCCCCTTCTACTGACCCCTAGATACCTAACAGGAAGAGTGTCCAGAGGAAACCCAATTGTTCTTGAAATAAAATCCTTCTCATCCTGAGATATCCCCGCATAGTAGAGACCGCATTTAGCCATGTTACATTGAAGCTCAGAGACAATGTAAAACTGATCAAGTAACCTTCTGATACCAACAACACCTCTCACAGAATCATTGGTAAGAACAAGTAGATCATCTGCAAAGCACATATGAGTGATCTCTAGTGCTTTGCATCTTGGATGATAAGGGATTTGATTTTCAATAACAGCCCTGTCAAGTAGCCTAGAGAAGATTTTCATAGCTATGGTAAAAAGGAATGGGGAGAGGTTATCTCCTTGTCTAAGCCCTTTACCTGCCGAGAAATACCCACATAATCCCCATTAAAAGCTACACTAAACATAGGGGGTAGTGATGCAAGCTCTAATTAGATTCAGGAAGCAATCTGGGAAATTCATAGCATGCATTGGTTGAATGATAAGGGATCTGCTAGTCTACCGAGTCAAAGGCCTTCTCTAGATCAATCTTCAAAGCACACCTAGGATTAATAGACCTCTTATGATAGTCTTTTACTAGTTCAGTGTATAAAAGAATGTTATCACTTATGGATCTGCCCTTAACAAAAGCAGATTGGGAAGTTCCTATTACTTTATGAAGCATACTAGAGAGTCTGTTGGATAGTAATTTAGATATACCCTTATAGACCACATTGCAACAGGAAATAGGTCTAAAATCCTTCATTTGTTAAACATTGGGAATCTTTGGAATAAGAGCAAGAATGGTGGAGTTTACCTGTCGTGGCATACTCCCCGTTGAGAAGAATTCCAGAACTGTATTTTCCACATCTGTACCCACAATATCCCAATCAGCAGTGAAAAATTCAGTTATGTAGCCATCTGGGCCAAGGGCTTTATCCTTTCCCATAGATTTGAAGACCTTCTTAATTTCCTCTCTAGTAATCCGGGTTTTTACAACCTCATGATCCTCATCAGTGAGCTTCATTTTCACCAACTCCATAAAGAAAGAGTCAGGAAACCTCTGTACAGCAGGATCAGAATGACCAAGCAATCCCTTATAAAAAGAGACTGCCAAACTACTCATCTCCTTCACCTGAGTCAATACCTTACCACTATCATCAATAAGCTTTTCAATATTCTGCCTATGAGTACGAGCCTTTACTGATGCATGGAAAAATTTGGTATCCAGATCTCCTTGTGACACATATTGCACCCTGGACTTTTAACGATAAAAGCTCTCCTCTGCAACCTGCACCTGCTGGCAAGCAGAAACAAGTTTTAATTCATTCTCAATAGCTTCAGCACTAGGAGAGCTAAAACCAATTTCAAAGCTTCTTCCAACTTTATTTCTGCTTCTCTAGTTCTCTCAGATAACTTTAATAACTTGTTTTGTTCAACTTTTTCAGCTTTAGCTTCAACTCTCTTAGCCTACCATACATAATTTGATGTGAAGACCCTTCAACCCCCATTTTCCATACTTCATTTAGTAAGTTAGCATATGAGGGATGAGCTCTCCAAAATTTAAAGAACTTGAAAGGCTTTGGGAGATTTGATACCTTTGGTACAGTTTCATTAGAAGCCCACAGTGCTCCGATACACCTGGAGCTAAAATTTTAGCAACACTGTGTGAGAACTTGGTTAACCATTCCCCATTTACGAGAAATCTATCCAACCTTTTAGCAATTGGGTTCCCCTACCGCTTATTCCACCAAGTGTACCAAGAGCCCAACACTTTATGGTCAAAAAGTCCCATTCTAGAAATCCAATTTCTGAAATTCAATGTACTTTGAGTAACAACATCTGTATTAGATGCTTCCTGAACCTCAGCAATAGCATTGAAGTCCCCCATATAAAGTCAAGGTTCCCCCACTACCATTTCTAAGTACAACTCTTCGTATAACCTTTTCCTATCAGCAACCTTGTTAGGACTGTAGATAGCAGTAACCAAAAATGTAACTTCTCCTGAGACCCGTACTTGTATAAAATGTTCCCCCTTACTCACTTCAATGACTTGAAGACCAGGTCTCCATAGTAACCAAACCCTCCTAGAAGAAGAGTAAGAGTAGTTATCCAAATGAAGCCATTGACTAAACTGTTTATTTAGTATATTAGGGGCATTGACAGCAAGCATCCTAGTTTCTTATAAAGCTACCAATTCTATACAATTACTAGCTAACCGTTTATTTAGATATCTATGCTTCTCAGGAGTGTTAAAACCCCTGAGATTCCAGCTCAATAACTTCATTTACCTTTGTGTTTCCCCTTACCTTTCTTTGGAGGGGATATATGATCAACCATATCTTGCCCTCTAGCATTCAAAGGCACTCTAGCCGCTACTGCCGATTGAGGAACCCGAAGGCTCCCCCCTGCAAAAGACTGATTGTTTTTCTAGACCACAAGCTGAAAACCCTCATCATCCACCACTGCCTTACCCCAGTCCCCAACTGTCTGAGGAGGGGTCTGAGCAAGAGCAGGCTGAGTAACTACTGGAGAAGCCATCTCAGTATTCCCTGCACTAGATGAAGCCGGAACTGCTTTATTAGACGAGGACTTATCGGCCTCACTGGTAGCCTCCCAGGTTTAGGATCCCATTGCACTTGTAATGCTTCTAAATCAACCTGTCTAGCAACCACCAGTTCTCTATCTTGCAAAACGTCCAGAGATCGACATTCATCGCCATGCCCAACCTCATGCCCAAAAATTCCACACTGTGCACATCGATGAGCAACATTTTTGTAGCTCACAAAGATCATCAAAGCTTCCCCTCCTTTTGGCCGAATACGGAAAACCGTCGGGAATTCAGAATCAGCAGACATTTCGATGCAGACTTTAACAGAACCCATCTGAGCACCCATCTTAGTAGTCTGGTCCATCCATAACGGCTTACCCACTCTACTCGCAACCCTACCAAGACCTTCCACAGTTAGGTATTCAAGAGTTAACCCTCGCAGACTAACCCAAATCTGCAGTACACCCAAATTCAGTTCCGTTGACTGAATTCCCGGAGTATACTTTCTTTTTTAGATAAGGGTGATATAGGTTTACTTTTTTGTGATTAGGTAGGTACTACTGAAGGGATTTGAACCTGGGACCTCCAGGTTCAAAGCTAGTGTTATTACCACTAGACCAAGCCCTTGTTCGTTCCCGGAGTATACTTTCTTACAAATAGCAGGTTACCTTCACAGTGCCATGGCCCGTTCTCGAATACCAAATTACAGGAATCGATGTCCGAAAGATGAAACATAAACAAGCTTTCGCTCTGAGGAGTAACCAGAACCTTACCATCACGACCCCAGAACCTCTGAGCCCAGCGACGAATTTTGAATAAACTTGAAGGTTTCACCAAAAACTGTCCCACCAGCGAGTTGCGCCAGCGAACAACACCTTCATCTCGAACCGCTTGAGGAATGACCAAATCCTCATCGACCAGCGTCGGAGCAACATATGGCAGTCTGTGACCTTCACCTACTCCAAATAACTGAGCCCAATTTGCTGGGGGCGGATCGGCCGGAGCGACCATTCCCGCCGAATAACGATAGCTAGGGTTCGCTCGATAGAGAGAGAAAGAAGAGAGAAGGGAGAGCAATAAACACCCTCTGGCAATGATTTTATAATATTTCAGTTTAGTTTTAAAATAAAAGAAATAACTCAACTCGAGAGTTAAAACCCAATTTAAAGTAAATAACCAATTATAAATGTGACACAGTAAATAAGAAAGAATTAAATTATCAAAAATTGAATATACTCACCTAACCAAAAAATAACGTAGTGATTAATGATCTAACAAAGACTAATTTGAACTAGAAAAAGAATTATAAATGATAGGATTTTATGGGATTCTAGTTAACCTTCAAAAACTTGTACTTCTATGGGATTCTAGTCTAACTTTTTAATTGAATTTGGAGATCTCATAAAACTTTCCAAATTATTTTTTCCCGTTGAATAAATTTCTAAACTTTGAACCAAATTAGGCGACGAAAGATATAAAACTTTTTCCACTATTTAATCGTAGATTTTCAGATTTTGGGAAGTTCTGCCGCATTAATTATTATCGCTAGATTAATTTTAAAATAACATATTAGAAATTTGTAATTTTTGCCTGTTGAACATAGCATTATTGACCTGCTGTAATTACATTTAGTTCCCGTTTATACGAGTTTCTAATGCATATTGCTTATGGAATTGTTCTTAATAGTTTGAGTTGTTTCGAAAAGGTTAATTATTAATTTTATATCACTCTTTTATACGTTCCATTAAACGAAAGATAAGTCATATGTTTGAACCTTGCACAAGCCCACCATACCTTGTGCTTTCATCAACTGTTAATTTTAGAGATCGTGGGGATTCTAACATATAACTACTTGGCATCATAAATCATTTGTCTGAGATAATCAAATTATGGACAGAAAGTTAATTAACAATATTATACCAAACTCAACCATCAAAAAAATATTATACCAAACTCTTATAAAACCACACCAACCTAATGTTTCACCAACTTATGGCATCACCGGCCGGCCTGATCGATATTCTTCTCCATTACAATATAATTTTAAACTATTTCTGTAGCACATCAAAAATCTCCTAAGGCAGATCATAAATCTCTTGAAGCAGATCATAAATCCTAAAAAGCATATACCATAAATATTTTTAAATCACACCAGAAACCTCTTAATGCAGAACAAAAAATACGATAAGGCAGACCATAAACATGAGAGACCAAACTACAAAATACATAACCCAGACCACAATATCTAGTGATCGTTGAATGAACTTTGGTCACCTATGACCGTACTCTTGCGTCATGTGACCGAACTCCGGTGTCTGGTGACCAAATTCCGACAGTGGTAAACATATTCTAGCTATGATGACCGAATTCCAGCGACGAGACCATATTCCAGCCACGGTGACTATATCAGGCGATATTTAGTGTAATTTGACGACATTGAGCATATTTCAATCATGGTGGACGTATTCTAATTAACCACAGTGAGCATATTCGGGCCACGTTGACCGAATTTCGACTACCGAAAAATTGGGCAAATTAATTATTATTTTATTTTATTTTTGCTATCTAAATAGAGACAACTTAGCTAATCTATACATAATATTATAGCAATTCAAAAGTAGTTTGTTGCCACATAAGCATTTGGGGAATTTACAAGGTGCCATGGTGGACAATTTTTTTACAAACAAAAAAGTCAGTTAATGATCAATTAATGTAGCTATATCTGTTTTTTAATATTTTTTTATTTTAATCATCATTTATGTAGCTATCTCTATCTTCTTTTATTGTTTTCTTTTTATATTCAATAATTGTATTTTTCAATATATATGTGTAGCAGCAGTATACTTATGTTTGGAGAGTGACGTATTTTGTAATACTTCAAAAAATATATTTGATTAAATCTGATCAATTAATTTTTCATTTTATTTTTATTTGAACTTAATATAGGTTATTTTCGATAAAAAAATAAATTAAACACACAGATAATTAATAGAATTTTTTTAAAAAATATGATGAAGGAATTTTAGATAATCAACATTTAATAATCAATTGAGTTTAAACACTATCTTTTTCTAATGTTTGTATCTGTCAACGAAAACAAGTATTAATAGCAAAATGCTTCAAAAGTTGTTTTTTCATTTTGATAGAAACTTGACGAAGCCATAATATAATACCTGATTGTACAAATGAAGACGATAAAGAAAGACAACTTTTCTTCTCTCTTATAATGCATGCTTCCATACCTTTTTTTCTCTTACATTTCTTCATACTTCCCCTTATTTTTCTTAACAGTTTACATATTTTGGTCAAACAAAGGTGTTAATTACACTTAAAAATACATTAAACTCTTTATATTTATATATGTATATTATGACATACATTGAGTAAGAAAATGATATCTTGACCTTGAATTGACTGGTGTTGCATATGATATTATTCTCAAACCCTTAAAGATTAAAATCTAGGTCTTAAATTTATAAATCCCATACCTAAAATCAATTTAATTATAAACAAAAAGCAATGGTCATGATTCGTTAAAATCTATGCAACAAATTACATGCACAATCTTAGGGTTAAGCTCTATGATTTAGATAACTAAGACCTTGGGTTCACTCATCAAGGGTTAGGGTATAGTATCATGCCTTCAAATCCGGTTAATTCATGGTCCAGATAGCATTTTCTTACTTAGAGTATAATATCATGCTTAGATATTGACAATAGATGTGGCATTACACCAACAAAATGAAGATATTAGTATAAGTAATGGAATTTTTATCTCAAAACAAACACCAAAGATAAATAAATTTTAGCAAATGCATATTTGATAAGTTAGAAAATTATACAACAAGAGACCATGTTAAGATTAGAACCCTCGACAGTGTGTGTGTATCGTTTACCGAGATTCTAAACCAACATCTAAACAATGACCATCAGTTGAAGGTGGGTCTATATTAAACTTCAGGAATTAACAATTGGTACATATTGTATAAGATATTAAATTTAGTGTCTTGATAGAAAAATATGATCTTACACTAAGACAACAAACTTTCAATTGGGATGACCAAATTTATGTAATATTGAAGTACCTTTATAAAAAAAAATTCTAACTAAATTGTCGTCATCTGAGAGTTCGTCTAAACTCGTGATTCATTGAATGACATATATTGTTTAAGACAAAAAAAATATTGAGTATCGTGATTGACAAATCTTGACATAAGATTCTATATGGGACATGATATATCTTTGTGACATGATTTATGATCAGTGAATCGAAGCATCATAAGTAAATGTGCTAAGTATTGAGAATTTTTCATTTATAGACGCACCGCATACTCGCAAATGAATGCAAATGTAAAAAATTTAAAAGATCCAAAATAGTTTAAACATATAGATAAATTGATTAATGTAAATGATAAAATTAAACTCACCGGCCAACAGGCCGGGTAAAAAGCTAGTAAAAAAGTACTCACAATCCTAATCTCCTTTAATTGGGTACTGATTGTTACCCGAACAACATAATAAGTGTTGTGAGTTGTGAACATATTCGGTCGTCAAATTAATTTCCACAATTTAATTCACTTTCTATTTTCTAACTTCTACTTTTTCATATCAAATTAATGTCCCAATTAACTTCCACTAAATTCTCCTTCCCATATACATGGAACAGATTAAATTGCCCAATTTAATTCTATACAGTCTCTTCAATATAAGGAATGTGTAGAATTAGAATGTCTATTTTTAGTGTAATTATATGTTACTTATAAAATTATTGGTTATGAGGCACCGATTTATTCACGGTTTAATATCTAAAAAGCCATTAAAGTATCAATGCTCATAATATCGATTCATACTCTGGTTTGATTATGAATACATTGTTAAAAACACTTTTGAAATGAATAATTTTAACCTAAGTTTTTAAACATTCAATGACAATTGGTACGCATAAATGCTACCACCCCATGCATGTGTTGTGAATCGTTTGCATAACTTACCTAACTGCCCCATTCTAAGCCAAGTATAACTCATAATGACATTGCTAGTATAGTGGCTACCAAGGTCGTATTACACAGGTTTTGATACCCTAAGTTACTTCTCACTTCGTTGTCATCTAGTAAACCAGTTTAAGTTTTGGGTTGGAGGTTGATCAAAAGACACTAGTGGAAAAAAGCAAAGATAAAAACAAGGTACTTCAGGGTACCACCCTCTCCCTAAACTAGGTCTATCATGTAGATGGCTAACTATGTTGGGTTTATAGGATAAAATGTGAAACTCTCTAATCTGGGGATTTCGATAACTACTCTCCCTCCTCCTAACACGGCCCACAAAGGACCAAATGTCACCTCAGTCTAAGCTTACATGTTAGGGTTTCTCTCATAGATCCTCTCAATAAGTTTAACCTAATGCATAGTAGAAACATGCTTCGATAAGAACGCGTGCGACTTCTCTAGCATTGTTTTAGAAAGGCATTCCTATAGCAGGGGTTAGGACACAACGTACACTAAGGAACCCTAAGATCATTCATCTAGTCTTAACCTGCCAGTTGGCGCTACCCAGTCTAACCCTAAAACTCCCACCTAGTGTTAACTCAGTTGTAGGCTAGTTAGAAAGAGTTGGGCGGCTTACCCAATCATAATTAAGCATCAATGAAGCATACGTTCACTAAAACAAACATATACATTCACAAACCCTAACACAATTACATCTATATTCAAAACCTAAATCTAGGGTTTGGGGGGGGGGGTCTAAGAGAACTACCCCGTATATGGGGAAGAAGATACATGGAAGAAATAGAAGAAGCCTTGATGTGAGAGAGCTCCCTTCCATCTCCTCCTCCTCCTCCTCCTCATCTTCTCCTTCCTTCAACTTCTCTCTCTTTAAACCAATTTTTTTTTGTCAATTTCAGCTCGCCAAGTTAGGGCAGGAGCCCTCTAATTATTGATTTCAGGATTTGGGCAAGTTCACGCTCATGGGGGGGGGGGGGGGGGGGGGGGAGTTTGCAATAGTGATATGGGTAGGGAAGGATGCGATCTTGAGATTTTCTTTTTATGCTTTGGAACTTGGGAAGTCTGTGGCTCAAGTTCATGGTCGGCATCCATGAGTCGTGGCCGCAATCTTCTTTTCGGGCTCGGATGAAGAAGGTGTGAGTCGACTACCAAGACATTCTACTCCTTCCTTATTGGCTGCTCCAAAGTTAGATCCTAAGGCGTCCATGTTCGAAGTCATGATTTTCTCCCAAAAGTCGACGATCTTGGTCCTCAGCTTCGTGTCCTCTTTTCTCGACCGTAATCTTTCATGCTCTGACCGTGATCTCTGGATTTCTACCATTTCTGTACATTTTTGCACATTTTTTTTTCATCTAAATCATTCAAATCATCTAATACATCCTAATATGCTAATATTTTCTCAAAGGAATATATAAGGTGTACATTTGATGATGGATTAACCATGAAGAATACAAAATGACTAGAAGCAACCCTAAATATGGGCTCTAGATAACACCATTTTGTATGTTATCAACAATTTACCTCATGTTACACAACGCTTAGAAAGAAAGTGGTTATAATAAAAACTCATATAAGACGACAATTTATGTTGTATAAGACAATTTTAAACTAGAAGGTTCACAATATTTTAATTTTATTATACTTTAAAAATTTGGACCACATCTTATTTATGGAATGTTTACTTGAAAATTGATTGGACTCTTGGGTGACCTCCCATTCCATCATTACTAATATATCCGACATTTAAGATTTTCTTTCTTTCTTTCTTTCTGCCCTTCCCTTCCGTACCTACTTACAGGTCAGCTTTTGGTAAACTGAGGGCGATAGAGAAGAAAACATTTATGGCGGTTGTTGACCAGATTGCTGCAACAATTGAAGGTTTTGGATTGTCTGATCTCTTCCCTTCCCTCAAATTCATCCCCCTCGTTACTGGCTATCGAGCCAAGCTCATGGCGCTTCATAATAGAGCGGATTCCTTGCTTGAGGAGATCATCCGCCAACACAGAGACAAAGCAGATAGAAAACAAAAACGTCATAATGATGATGATGATGAAATAGAGGACATTGTCGACATTCTCCTCAGTCTTCAACGTATTGGGGACCTCCCACTTCCCTTAGCAACTGACGACATCAAAGCCGTCATTCTTGTTAGTATCAACACATTCTTACTTGTTACCTAGTTAGCTACATTGTTACCATTGCTAACTGATACTGTTGTGATCATACCAGGATGTTTTTCTTGGTGGTATGGAAACATCAGCAACCACAATCGAGTGGGCTATGTCTGAGTTGATTCAAAACCCAAATGTTTTACGACTAGCACAAGAAGAAGTGAGGCAAGTCTTTGGTGACAAGAGAAATGTTCGTGAAGACCAGCTCCATGAGTTGACCTACTTAGATGCAGTGATCAAGGAGAGCATGCGAATGCATCCTCCTGCTCCCGTACTGCTTCCAAGAGAAACGAGAGAGACCGTTGAGATCAATGGTTTTGTTATCCCTGCTAAAACTAGAGTTATAGTCAACGCCTGGGCAATCGGAAGAGATTCTAGTTATTGGATCGATCCTGAAAAGTTTTACCCAGAGAGGTTCTTGAACTCTTCTATTGACTATAAAGGAGCACACTTCGAGTATATACCATTTGGTGCTGGAAGAAGGATTTGCCCTGGAATGTTTTTCGGAATGGCTAATCTTCAACTGGGCCTAGCCAATTTGCTCTTGCATTTTGATTGGAAAATTCCCGATGGACTTCAACACCTAGATTTGATGGAACAGTCAGGACTCTCCGTCTCAAGTAAAAAATTATTACGCCTCATCCCTACTGTGGCTAGCAATTGATGGCTAGTGCGATGCCTTAATTAATATATAATAGTTTGGAAAGGTTATTGTTAAGTCTTAGCCATGAGCATGTTGGAGCTTAAGTGTGTCGTTTTAATATATTACATTTTTAGTCCTCGAACTCTTTGTTCTATGTCATTTGGGCATTGTCGAATTATGTTGGTCATGTATCTTAGTTTTTAGGGTTCAAGAAGTCAAGGCCATTACTTCTGGGTCGAGTTATTTGATGTTCTTCAGGTTGTTTCCAAGTGTGCTACTAGTATTTGGAATAAAAATTTTAGTTTACCTCATAGTTGATTCACCATTGTGGTATCAGTCTATTAGAGCTTACTTGCATACCGTAAACAAGCAAGAAAGAGTGATGAGTGAAACACATATGCTTTTTAGGTTGGGAAACATGAGAAGTAATATAAGGCATTTGTTGTTTCTGGGTTGAGTGAATGTAATCATGAGTAAGACAAGTGGATTTGTTCAAGTTTGTATTCTCAAGTTTGATGGGGACTATAAACATTGGAGTTTGGCTATGAAAAATCTCCTGAGGTCCAAGGAATATTGGACAATGGTGAGTGATGTTTCTAGGAACCTATAGCTGGGGAAGACTTTTCAGGAGTTGAGCTGAAACCTTTAGGGAAAGCGTCTAAAGGACTTAAAGAAAATGAATTTCCCATTTAGGTCAACTAACATGAACATCCCGACGACACTTACCAACAAAGGAATAACTAACGATATGTGGATCTCCATGAAAACCATGTGTTACGGGAATGCAAGAGTCCATAAATCACACCTAAAAAAAAGCACTCGGACTGTATTTTTGGGGTATTAGAAATGAAAAAGGTGAATTTGTTAATGATTTCTTTGATATAGTTACGGTGATTGCAAATGCAATGAGAACTTTTCTCCCCGCCACCGATATAATTCTTTCTTTCCAAATTTTCAGTTTCTTTCTTACCAGTCCAGTGAATCCCTGAAAAATATCTTTCTTATCGCCTAACCAACATAGAAAGTCCTAGATATTTCTCATGCTTGTCCACCACCACCATACCCAACGTACTGCTGATCATCAATCGTTGCTTCCTTTATCACACTTCATTTGTGTTCTGTCAGTGACCAGGGTATCCTGCTTTATCTTGTGGTCATTACCCTATGTGGTTGCCGCACAGATCTCCCACTCTTCTTCGTTCAGAATATGAAAACGTGACTTGGATCCCCCTCGAGGAGCTTGTAGTGGAACACCCAGTCCCGCGGAGTTATGTTTAGTGACAGTTGGGGCTTGTTTCTTTGCTTTTTCCCTTTGGTTTGAACATCATCCATTCACACCACAAAGGAGTTTTGGTCGGTGGTGGAGTATTAACCCCAGCCATAGGTGTAGCTGTGTCTCTCGTTGTGTCATCATTACGAACTATTGTTGGGAAACCACGCTTTGAGTGACCATATTTCCCGCACTCCGAGCAAATCTGGTGGATCCCCTCATATTAAATGTAGTAAGTAACTCATTCAATCTTGTATTGTGAGAGAAGAACCTTTGTTAAGTCCACCTCAACACAAACACTAGCCAAGTGCCCTCTTTCGCCAGTTTGGGTGGCTCGGTCCACACGGATGGGTCGTCCTATCCAACTCGGTATACGCTCAGCTGCCTCTTTGTTGATAAGTTCCAATGGGAGACACGGTAGCCTTGCCCACACCATAGTGGTAGCTACCTCCGCCAGCTTAGGGTTAAAGTTCTTTCGCCAAGGCCTTACCGTCAAGTAGTAGTCTCCAATCCTCCATGGCCTTCCTGCGGCCGCTAGCTAATAGTCATATTCACTCAAGAAGCGAACAACATAGTATCCATGCGTGAGGCTTGATATCTGTAAGGTCCCACATTTTGCCCATAGGGCCTCGAGACGATGCGATATAACCAGAAATGCGAACATACTCTCCAAATCCTTGAAGATAATTGCAGATCGTCCTTGTCGCCGCCATTATTGTTTTTCCTTCGCGTTGAAAGCGATGGTAGGGAAATGAGGGTCATCGTCCTCCGGAATCTCGTCATCCAAGTCATTTTTACGCAAGGCCTTTGCTATCGGACTCCGGAACATAACACTCCTTCTTATATTGATATTCACAAAATATCTTCCTCTTCCCACCCTTTCATGCACACTCAGTAGTAGGCGACGAGTTTTATCTCAAATCATGTTGTTTTTCCGTTCCCTCTTCTTCACTAATAATCTCCTCAATGTCAAAAAGGGGGTTGTCACTCATTGGCTTCGCACGCTTTTTTCTTGTTGATTTTCTCGTGGGGGTTGTGCCCCCGAAACACCGGAAGCCATCGCAGTGCACAGAGATTCGGCGGTGAAACTAGGTCATCACGATCGCGTTAGAATTTGCCGCTCCAGCAAAACCGAAGCTAGGGTTTTACCTTCTCACAAGTGTTTAGTTAAAACAAGTATTCCTTTCCAAGGCTGGAGCTTTCATAGGTAAAATTTACTATCACATTAAGAGGTTGTTTGGATTAAGAATTTAGTTAATGAGGAATTTTGCCAACAATCACTCATTTAAAAACCTAGTATTTTAAATCCAGAATTTGGGTTAAATATATTGTTTGTTTGGGGATGGAAGATTAGTACTTAGAGAATTTAATTATGAAGCAATTGCCTAAATTACAATTATATCCTTTGAAGCCAACATTCGATTCTTCCTTGCAAATTAACGTCGACTTCACTGGAATCTTCCCCTGCCGTTGCGTCTTCCGAACCGAGGTGACTCCACCAACGGAGACTCTGTTTCCGATCGCAGACTCACTATTTCCCATAATTACTGGCTGCAAAAGAAACCAAAGAGGTCCAATCGTTCTTCTTCCTCTTCTCCTAGCACAAACCCAGATCGAACAGCCACAATCGTAGTTGTCTTCTTCTCCAATCCATGTGTTTCGAGACTCGCCAACCAGAGACGGCGGTGGGAAAGCAGAAAGTGCGGGGAGCTTGAAAAACCCCTAAAACCGAGATTTGGAATTTCTAAATCTGGATCGAGCTCGTGACAGCTGACTGGAGGGGAAACTCGCAGACGGCTTTCGAAGCTCCGAAGAAAGTCTGGAGCAACAGCTCCAGCCAGGGTCGATTCCAGCCCAGGATCGCCATGATCTCCTCATCTTCATGCGCTCATTCGTCGTAGTTGGAGGGTCAGGGCTCGGGTCAGGACCTGGACGAAGGATTTGGATTCGGAGACGGCTCGACGATGAGCTTGTTGCCGTCGTCGTCGAGAGATTTGGGATTGTAGATGGAGGAGTACGACGAAGGAGAGTTGTTGTTTGAATTAGATTATTGGAGAGTTCCACGACGAAGAGTGTGGCCCGAAGGAAGGATGCGGCGAAGAATCGTTGAAGAAGACTAGGGATCTGGATTCTAGAGCAGGGGTAATGGAAAGGACACGTTTGGCAAAAACACAAACTTTGGAGTCGGATTTTGAAATACTTGGGGGTGGGTAGATATTTCTAATTTTTGGTTGGGCCGAATTTACAATTCCTGGTGGGCCAAATCCCTACCATCTTTTCTGGATCCAAACGACCGCTAAAGCTTATGTATCTTCTGAAATTTGGAAATAAGACCATCTCCAATAGTAAATCCAAAAGTTCCAAAACTTAGAGCCATATTTGTCAATTAATAATTCTTACTTTTGACTTTCTTTATCCTAAAATAACTTTAAACTCGCCCGCAAAATATTTAAACAACCACCAATAGTTGATTCTCACTAATACACAAACATTGCAATTTTACAAACAAAAAAATCATTGCAACGCTAATAACAAAGCAACGCCGCTAGCTCGTCGCTCGTCTGTCATGTAGCGGTGGGGCTCAAAGTTGGATGTACTTTTTGTCTTATTAGAGCAAACTTGGGCCCAAAAATTTTCACTATTTGGCACTGAGGAATTTTTAGTCGTTGCTGGAAGTGACATTTTGAATTTTTTTGCTTTTTTGCAAGGTTGATAACCCGTGGGTTGCCCCTCCGGTCGGCTTGGTTTGGTCCGGACCCGTTCACCAAAACGGGTCTCACTAACCCAGAAAAGCTTCCACCAGATCTGGTCAAGCTCGCTCATACTCGGTCAAACCCGGCAGACCCGGATGGTTGGCCCAAGCCACTGGGTCAGCGGGCTTTGCATGTGCGCTAGTTTCGATGGCTAATGAATTCTCTTCTACGCTGCGATCTGGAGCTGGACGTTGGTGGGGGTGGGAGGAGATATAAAACCCAAGCCACCTAGCGAGTTTCGCCGTCTTCTCCCTACTTGAACCTGCAGCTGAACTTCAATGGCTGAAGTCGTTCTCCCGAGTCCAGCAGCAATCCGCCGCACTTCTCTGGCCCTCGAGTCGGCGCGTCTTCTTCGCCGCAATCGGCTGCGTTCTTCACTGTGCATACTCACGGCGTTCTCCCCCGCAAGGGCGGCTTTATTTCTTTTGGAAGAGCAAGGGCGGCAGGGAGATGGGAGAAAGGGGAATTGGGTTTGGCTTTTTGCATCGTGTGGTAAATGGTGATTGCCTGATGGGAGATTTATGGTTAGTTTTTTTTTTTAATTTAGATGTCAAAGCAAGGGCGTCAGGGGAACATGGAGAAAGGGGAATGGAGTTTGTCCTTTTGGCTCGTATGGTGAATGGTGATGGAGTGATGGAGCTTTAGGGTTTGTCATTTTTAGTTTAGATTATTATTTTAGTAACATTATATATGCAAATTATGTCATGTTACTTTAATTAAATCACAAGCTAGTAATGCATCACTACTTCAAATAATTTATAGAAGTGCAGCATATTTATCTTATATATCCGGGTTAATCCGTGCTAAACCAATCAACCCATTAACCCTTGACTCACTATCTCAACCGGCTAATGGGCAAAACCGGGTTGACAACCTTGCTTTTTTGAAAAGCCATTTGAGATTGTCTAACGTTTACTATTTTAATAGCTGTACATTTCAATCTTTTGTTTTATTCCTTTTTATATTACCCTAAGGAACATACACAAGCCAGCAGCCTC